ATTGGTGCTGTACAGCTGCTTCTTCATTCTCCTACTCAGTCTCATAGTGCCCTACTTTGTGATTATATATATCTATCTATATATATGTATATATATATTTGAGCTTCACTCCCCATCACAGCATTACAGCAAAGCCAGCAATGAATTTAAAAAGAAGATCTCTCTCTCACCTTTTCTATCAGAGTTTGCGTTAGTCAAATGGTTGGTAGCCAAAAATAGCACATGCTCATGAAGTTCCTACCTGAAGCTGCACACAATTGTCATGCTCAGATACAAAACTGATTTCCTTGAAAGATCACTCCCAGGGGGCCCAGTTCCCTGACACCCCTGCTGAACATGAAGCCTTGCTCTCTTTCTTGATCAAAAATACATGTTTTACACACAACTGTATCTTCTTTCCTCCATCCTTTAAGAGCACATGTCATCTCATCTTTAAAAGCACAAATCAAGAGCTCTTCCCTGGCTGGCTTACCAGGAGCTTACAACTGAATTACAGTAATTTGCAGCTAACCCCAGCATAAACCTTTTCCCTGATTTTGCTATTAATGAATCCACTGGTGTGTCCTTTTTCACAACAAGCAGCAGACTAATGAGTAATAGCCACTCATCCCACTTTCCCTTGGGGAGATTAAAGACTGGGTGTGAAGCAGGTGGAGTTTGGAAAGCTCATTAGAAAGTACATGAAGTTTAATCAGAGTTTGATTAGAAGTCAGAATGGAGAAAGGAGTGACTCAAGTCTCCCACGTGACTAATATCTCTCTTATTTTGTTTCAGTCTCTTAGAGGAGACCAATTAGCATATGTGCAATTGGAAAATCACTGGTCTATATTATATAGAGGGAACAGCAGGAACGGTGAGCACTCACTGCAATTCCCAGACTTGACTAATACTTTAAAAAACAGACTGGCATCTAAGTTTACATGTACATGATATACCTCAGAGTCCCTTTTCTGATTACTGGGGGAGATTACATTGAAAAAGCCCCAAGGAGGAATAAAGTGGTGCAGTGCTGCACCAAAGAAGGTTATGTCCATCCTTTCTTTTCATACACTGATGGCTTTGTTAAACTCACCGTAAACACCCTCTCTGGCTCGCCCTTGGCCCTCATGTTGGTGTCATGAACTTGCTTGAGGATCATCCAGGCTTCATCATGTTTACCAATCTGAAAACAGCAAAGAAAAGGAAAACAAATGTTGGAGATACCAGCTCTTTAGCACATCAAAGCACAGAGAGAAACCAATTCTAGAGGTCCAGCACAGTGGAGAGGCACACAGACAGCACTGGCTGCATTAAATGTGAAGTGCTGAAAGCAGGGCTGGTATTCACAAAGTGCAGCATCTCTGTGCTCGAGAAAGGAGTTGTCCTAAAACTGCCTGAGGCAGAAAAGGGATCAGAAATAGAGCTTTAAAACCAGATGAAAGAGGAGATGGATGAGGAGACTTGGACTCTTACCCCAACTCTGCTAAAGGCTTGCAGGGTTAAGTTGAACTAGATATTGCTACATTTCACATCTGTGAATTTGGAATACAGAATAACTTGCTTAAGATTTCTGAGGTTTATGTATTTTACTCAGAAAAATGTGCTCCTTCCTTTGCTCTTCCACCAGGTTTCTGTAGTTCCATGCCCAAATTCTGTGAGATGTTTTCAAAGTGCCTTTGTTGGACTTATAAAATTCCCAGTCCTCACCACCTTCTTTCTGAACTCCATCCATCAGTGATACACTAACCATCAGTGATTGACCCCATAGTCTATAATCTTCGGGGTTTAAGCAGTCTGTGGAGCTAGTGCAGACATGCAGGAGTGGCTCTGCCTCTGAGCTTGCGCTCTGTGCGTTTGATGGGACAAAGGAAGACAGACAGTGACACATTAGGGACCTACTGTCCTCTGCTGATATCCGACTGCAACATTCAGATGAATCATCTTACCTCCAGCAAAAAACGTGGGCTTTCAGGCATGAATTTCAGTGCCACCAGGGAGGCGATACAGGGCAGAGAGCACACGAGTACAAAGACTCTCCAGCTGTGGAAGTGGTACTTGGTTCCCATACTGAACCCCCAGCCTGGAAACAGCAAGAGCCAACAAGTAAAAATACTGACCAGGCATTCTGAGTTTTTCTCTCATAAAGCAGCTCTGAACTTTACAGCTCTGTATGACAGGAGGACAGGTTGAAAGTTTTCTATTCTTAGTGCTGGTGGCTCTTGGAGGGTCAATAACATGCTCAGTAGATAGCAGCGAGTTCATGTTCATTACAAAAACTGCAACATACTTGCTCAGGCTCTGCCCTTTAAAAACCTTCTTTTATCTTGAGCTTAGAAATCACCTACTTTTAAGAAAAGCTCCGTGCAGCTGTAGGCAAGTAAGTGTGGCAAATGATACAGGAATCAGGGCCATAATTACTGCTGCTCAGTGATGTTACCAAAAGTGTACATAGGTTAAATGCCTGATCTGAGAGGCACATTAGATCCGGTTCCTTTCCATCTCCTGCATCCCATTGTGTATTAAACATTTCATGGAAATGAGCTAGGAAAGCAAGTTTATTTTTTTCCAGACCTACAAAACTTGAGATGGGATTCAGATTTAGGAGAATCCAAATCCTAATCCTGCCTTGGAGATTCCTCCTCTCCTGCTTTTTTCCTGGTGTCTGACCAGGCTGGGTATCCCCTTGCTAAGGATTGGAAAGTACAGGGTCATTCTTACATTACTTTCCCTAGGATCAAATCTCAGAAGTAATGTTTAATTCATTTATTTTTTTTTCTATAAACATTCTTAGTCACATAATAAGAAAATCATCAAGCAATGGTTTTTGCAGAGGTCTTATCTGAGCCAGTCATGGCATTCTAATAATCTTACAAAGTTCCAAAATAGTAGGTGGAACATTGGAAATAAAAAAAAGAGAAGCTGTAAAAACATAACATCAAAAAGTCACCTGAAAAATTATTGAAATGTAAATACATAAGGGCTTTTTAAAACAAATGTATTTGCAGATAATAGAATTATTTCTACCTGACACCTCTGCAATAAGTTTGCCTATTTGTTCCAACAGACTCTGTCATATCAATCAAAAGCATGGATATTTCTTTATACTGAAGGTGCTTTAAGCATGCTAAAAATGAGTTGATAGATAGGTAAATGTTAGTGGTTTTCTTCATGGTTTTTGCAGACTGTCCTACTTTCCTCAAATAGGATTTTGCAAACAGCTGGTGTCACTGAATACGGAGGAAATTAATCTTTTCCAGTAGATATCTGTTTCTGATGTTTTCCTAGGTTATTTACGAGTTACAAGGAATTCCATGTGACATGCAGACTTTTTTTGC